GTCTAAGAGAGCTAATCAGTTGCCTTTTCCATTGTGAATAAATTTCTGCAAATCTTGCTAGTCTTTGGGTTTTAGAAAATTCACACTGAGCTTCAATTTTTTTTTTTTTTTTGCCTTTTGAGTGGAGTTCTTGTGATCTTAAGAGTCACTGATAAGGCCTATACGATATTGCATAGAGTGGGTGTTATATTTTTGTTGTATATACTAATAGTCGAACTTGACAAGACTATGTTCCACCTCTATGCTATGAATTTTCCAATAGAACTACACCCAGCTATTCCAGTTGGGAGAAATGGCATCAGTGCCATCATCAAAATGTCAGAATTGACATTTGTGGGCTTCCTGAATGTAGAAAACTCCAGTTCATTCTGTGTGTTGGAATCAATCCTCTCTCAGAACCCACAAGCTCAGTAACCCAGGTCTGGCAGTTCAATTTTTAGATGCTTCTAAAAAGTCTTACATTCCTCTCTACACTTTGGGATTGGATTCACTATCCAGAGTCAAAGAAACATAACTTGTTTCCTGAACTTCCTTCTTTGTGGAATTCTTTTGTTCAGAGACAACTTTGGGTAGCTCCAGAAGACTGCTCTATGATGTGGGAAAGGGAGGATATTAGTAGAATTTCAAGGAGAAAACACTTCACCAAGGGAGGTTTTATAATTGTAAATGTGGATGGTTGAAATTTATTCATTTATTTTTTTGTCAGAAAATAATGCTTTCCACGTTCAAGGCAATGTCCTAAGTTCTGTGAAAAGAACAAAGATGGAGTATTCTCTCAAGATTTGAAATCAGGAAACATGTATTTAGTCCCACCATATTTCTAGTTGTTTGAACTTAGCAAGCCACTTACTACTCAATCCTCAATTTCTTCATTGATAAAATGGAAATAATACCTACTGAACAAGATTATTGTGAGGGTAAAATAGAATAATGGATGAAATATCACTTTGTAAAATATAAAATTCCAAACAATTATATATATGGTATTATTATTATTATTATATGAAGGCTCATGAAACCCCACTAAACCTAAAGGAAGAAGATTTTGCATTTTCTTAGACATCCTTCAACCTCTTTCTTGTTTTAATCTCTGGAAGACAGAATTATATTTGAATAATCAACCTAGCATGAAATGCCTTGGTCACTAAGCAATTAAAACACTTTTTTTTTTTTCCATAGTCATAGTCAAAGAGGGACAAGCCCTAGGAAGTTTCATATCATAAATCATTATTTTTCACTCTACACAATCTAAACTTTATTTTTCCCCAGAAATTCAGGCAGCGGTTCCTTACAGGAGGATGTGTGAATGGAGATATGAACCTTGTGCCACTCCCTGTTTTAAGACATGTAGTGATCCTGAAGCATTAGCATGTAAATTTCTTCCACCGTAAGTAATGTTTATCACTAAATGAGCAAACTCAGTATTAGCAGATATTTTCAGTGGTTTATTTTTAGATTTAAAATAAGCACTCTCAAGAAAATATTGTGCATGCTATATTCTTATTCATGAGTTTATTTCATTCAAGAAATATTTATTGAGTGTTATGATGTGCCAAAAACTCTTGTAGTTGCTTTTTACCAATTGCCATCATGTTGACTCCAACTCATGATGGCCCCATTAAGTGTCAGAATAGAACTGTGCTCCATAGAGTTTTCAATGGCTGTTTTTTCAGAATTAGGTCACTTGTAGTTGCTAGAGATACAGTCATGAGCCAATAGACACAATACCTACCCTCAAGTAGCTTCCATTTTTGGGGGTTGAGACTGAGAATAAATAAAAGAGTAAATATACAAAAACATTGATAGATTATAAGTGTTATTGAGAAAAATAAAGAAGGTCTTGGTGATAAGGTGGCATGTGATCAGAGTCCTGAAGGAAATGAGGGAACTGGCATGAGGTTATCCTTCCAATTTGAGAACACTGAAAAGGCCCTAGACTGGGGATAAGTTTGGTGTGTTTGTTGATAAGCAAGGAGTTGAAACAATGTGAACATGATTGAGAGAGATAGAATATGAGTTCAGAGAACATAGTAGTAGGAAAATCATATAGCATCTTGTAGTCTGTGGTAAGAACTTGGTTTTTTCATTCTGAGTAAGATAGGAAACCCTGGTGTATTTTGGGAAGAGGAATAGCATTGTCTGATTTATGTTTCAAAAGATTAAAAAATGCACTTTTTGGGAAGGGAAGGGCAAGGACAGAACTGATCAGAAATATAGACAAAAGATGAAGGTGATTTGACTGAGTTGGTATCATTGAGAAGTGAACAGAAATACACTTCAGACTTAGGGACATAGGCTATGGATTTAACACTGTAAGAGAAAGAGGAGATATGGTAGTTATGTTTGTGTGTCAACTTGGCTGGACTTGGTTGAGTGGCTGGGCAGCTGGTGGTAGTTATTCCCCATGATGAGATTGGCAATCAACTCCATGGTGGGATCTGCCACAAGCAGCTGAGTAGCTGCCTTTGGGATGTGGTCTGCTTCCCGTATATAAGAAACAGCTTTGGGAATGGTCTCCAGCCTTTGGCATGCTTGGACCCTGCATGTAGCCGTGTTGTTGCTTAGCAGTCTGCTATGCTCTGCTGACCTTGGGACTTACAATGGACTTAAATTAATGGCCTGCCATGTGGATTGGTAACATCAGGACTGTGCCTTTTTACTTGTCAACCTTGGGGCTTCTCAGCCTCAGCAGCCAGCAGCTGTCTGAGTGAAGAAATGCCTCTAGCTCCAGAGGGTGGGGAGCAGGAGGCAGAGCTGGACACCAAGGTTAAGGGGCTTGCCCCTAGCCCCTAGAGCATGGCACTTTGAACTTGGACTTAAGCCTCCAAATTTTAAGAATAAACTCCTATTTGTTAAGGCCATCCCATTTGTGGTATATATTCCTGTCAGAGAGGCACTAAGTAACCAGAACAGAAGATAAAGACTTAGGTTTTTGGCCTCAGCAATTATTAGTTTGCACCATATGAAATTGCTGTTTTTGTTACTGAAACTGGTCAAATAATAGCAATTTCAAATGATTCCATTTAATGGAAGAACTAAGTTGTTATTTACTGGGGTAAGGAAAAAGTTAGGAGGAACAGCTTATAGGGGAATTGAAGGATTTGTTTCTGAACATTTTAAATTTGAGACTGAAAACTGGTTATTAGATTTAGCAACCTGGAGATTGCTACTGACCTTAGAGAAAGGTGTTTCTACGAAGTGATGGTAGCAAAAGCCAGTGGCAGTGAATTTTAGAGAGAATCAGAAGGGACAAAATGTAGACAGAGAATATAAACATGTTCATTTTTCTTTATTTTTAACATGTTATTGTGATTTGGGTGAAATTTCACAGGACAAGTTGGTTTTCCATTGAAGCATTCATGGATATTTTGTTTTGGGACATTGATTGTAATCCCCAGAATGGAACAGCACTCTTCCCATTTCCTCCATGTGTTCCCCATTTCCATTCATCCTTCTTTCCTATTCCTTCCAGCTTTATCCCTGGGCAAATGCTATCCATTTGATCTTATGTGGTTGATTGTTCTAAGGTATGTGTACCTTGTTGTTATTTTTCACATTATAGGCCTATTTATGATTTGTTTAAAAGTTGAACCGGGGGGCAGGTGTTCAGTTCCAGGCTTGAAGGGTGTCTAAGGGACATAGTCTTGAGGGTTCCACCAGTCTGTATCAAAGCAGTTAGACTGGTCTTTTTGTTATTATTATTATGAGTTCTGTTCTACATTTTTCTCCCACTCTATGCAGGATTCCTATTGTGATCCCTTTCAGAGCAGTCAGCAGTGATAACCAGGCACAACTGATTCTTCTGGTCTCAGGGTCATAGAGGCTGGAGTTCATGTGGTCCATATGTCCTTTGGACCAATTGTCTCCTTGCTGCTTTGATTTCTTCCCTCTTTGCTCTAGATGGAGAGACCGATAGTTGCAAAGTAGATGGCCATTCACAAGCTTGTAAGACCCCAGTCACTACTCACCACAGTAGGATGTAAAACATTGTCTGTGTGGATTATGTTATGCCAACTGATGTTAGTGTCCCCTGAATCTATAGTCCTGAGCCCTCAGGCCCAGTGGCTCATTCCCTGAAGGTGCACGGTTATAGTTCAGTTTTTATAACTTTGCTCTAGTATGCTCTACTGTATTCATGGATATGTTTGCAGCACATGTAAATGCTATGTAGAAATATCCTCTGTCCAACTTATGTATATTCATGGGTGTAGTCCCATTTGCCTTCCCACCCTGTTCAATTTATGTGTCTATCTATGTATCCACTTGTAGGTTATTGGTATTACTTATATTGCAGGATTGGTTATGTAATAGTATTTACCTTTGTTGCTTTTGACTAGAGTGCTCCTCCTAGTGACTTCCTTCACCTTGATTGTTTTGTGCTGACCTTCCCCTTAGTGTATAATGCATTTCCCTTTACCTAAATTAATATGTGTCTACCTTTGTTTAGTAATTTACCCTCCCTTCCCTTCCCACCCGTGGCGACTTTCTTTCCTTTTTTTTTTCCTGCAGAATTCTTTTTTTTTTTTTTAATTGTGATTTGCGTGAAGATTTACAGAGCATATTCACTTTCCATACAGCAGTTCACATACACTTTGTCTCATGACATTGACCACAGTTTACCACAATGCAACAGCCCCCCTCCCACTTCCTCCCCATAGTTTACCTCTTCCCAGTGTAATTTCTCCATGCTCTCCTGCCCCCTGAGCTGTCTCCCTGTGCATAAGCAGCACTTCTTTCTCCCACGATTGTTCTCTCCAAGGATTGTATCTACCTGAGGTAAATGTTCAACTCATATGCCTGTCTTTTGTTTGGCTGGAAACCATGAGTGTGGGTTCAATTCCAGACCTGATGGGCAGCTAGGGGCCATAGTCTCAGTGGTTCCACCAGGCTCTATTGGACCAGCAAACCTGGTCCTCCCCCTTTTTTTTTCTCCAAATGATTTTGAGTTTTGTTCCACATTGTTCTCCTTCTCTATCAAGGGTCTCCTACATAGATCCCCTTCCA